GGCCAGAGCTGAATTCAGGGAGAAGCTCTTTAAGGAGGTGCTGTTTGCATGTAGGATAAATACAACAAATCCAACTCTGGCATCTGGAGCTGGCAAATCAGGCAAGAAGAAGGTTGCATCAGAGACTGCATCTAAGGGACCTCTCTTGCAGGGGCCCGATTATTTGAAAAAGAACCTTCTAAACAAACGACATGCAGAGGCCTCACCCCACGTCTCTCAAAAAGTTGGTCATTTGGAACTCTCCAGAATAGCGGTTGCGGCCAAGACTGACGATAAACGAGAAGGGGAAACAGACTGGCAGAGCTGGGCTAACCTGCTCACGGTGCCACACCTCCCCAGCCCAGTTCAAACCTCCGGCACCGCCGGGGTTTCTGAGGCGGGGGTCTTCCGCGAGGAAGGCAGAGGCGGGTTCCGCCCGGATGTTCCCAAGGGCAGCCCGAGGTTGTGGCCCGCTGGCTGAGTCATAGGAGAAGGAGATGTTGCAGTCACGAGAGACAGAGACGCCAAGACAAAGATCTGGAGGCTCAACCCCGCCTCCCCCGCCCCAAGACCAGACTGTCGGTGAAAGGCCAGGAGCGGAGGGAGCCTTCTCCAATTCTCCATGATGGGCGTGCCTCCCCTGCTCCGGGAGGGGCCGCCTCACACCCCCACAGACCACGGGGTTGCATGTGACCAGGGCTCTGGCACGGCCACTGCGCCCCCGCCCAACCCCGACTACAGAGCTCCCCAAGCTCCCTCGGAGAAAGCGGCACTAACCGTCACTCAGGGTCACAGACCACAATTACCAGGAGATGTCTGGTGGGCAGGGGCACAGGTGTGGTTCTACTGGGGGTGGGGGGTAAAAAAAAGGTCACTGTGCGCATGCGCTTGGGAGCCTTATTGTTCCCTCCCTCATCTCCCCCAGCAGCGCTTGTGCGCGGCGGCCACACTAAAAATGGTTGGGGAAGGGGCAATAATTCCATCTCTCCACTCCACACCCCCCAAATAAAGCCGTTTTCCAAGAGCTTCACGCTTAAGTTCCTTTCCCATGCCCTCCATGCCTGTCCCCCCGGGTCCGTACTCGTTACCCCCGCCCCGCCACA